GGACGTTACACAAATATACTTTCAAAATATTACTCAGTATAGGCACAGGGATTCTGCTTGACCAAGTAGTCATGGCAGTTGAAACTTACCACTGTGCAAAGAATTTGGTTAAGTGTGATGTGGCATCTTTTATCACAAAGTATCTATAACCTTCCTCTCCCCCTACAAAAATTCACTACCATTTCTTATACCTGGATTAGGAAACACACCAAAAGCAGAATTACCCTACAAATGGCTAATTTTATATGCCCTTATCTAAATTGATGATGCTTAGTATGTGATTTATGTAAGAGGAAGCTCTAGAGGGATGGACTAGAGCACGGAGGTAGCTTTTCTGAAAGAATTTCCCTTGACAGCCTTGACTTGGAACACACATACACATAGTACAAAATTGTTTCGTGAATCATCCTGCTTTGAGTTTTGTTAAAGTAGCACTGTCACCATGTGGGAGCATCATCTTTTTGCTCTTCATTACCCTATTGACATGTTTTTCCACCCCAGTGCTGTTAATCCATGAAAGTTCTTGATGATTAAAACTGATGTGGTCCTTTAAGGAAATTCAGTGGTCAGTAACATTTCCTCTCCCAAAGCCCCTTATATGTCATGCCAGGAGTGACAACTATGTGTGCTTTAGGCCTCTTGAATCGATTTAATATTTCAATTTGTGCTACTGATGTTTCATCTGACAGTGGCAGGTCTCCAAAACACTTCTACAGAGCCACTACTGACCTCATTGAAGGTCAAATAGCAATTAAATTTTGAATTAATTCACTTTTTCTCTCTACACCAATCCCAAAGTTCTTAGATATAGTCACACAAACAAAATGAACTTGGTAAAAGACCCTCAGTGGATAGAGTTTACTCAGTCACTCAGAAAATATTTCTTGGACACCTATAGCCTCCCAAGCAGTTCTTTAGACACTGAGGATTTAAGTAAAAGGAATTCAGACACAGCTGCTGCCCTCCAGGAGATTAGATTCATAATGTGGAAAGCCTGAATAAAATTGGCTATTCCAAAAAGATGTCTTCAATATAAGTCACAAAGAGAAGTGGTCACTTAGAGCCCTCACATGAATGCTGTGGTTTAGAAGAGAATCCCCCATGATAGCCTGCAGACCAGTGCTGCCTCATGGACAGCACTCCATAGTGAAATGTTTTTCACATAGTGAAATGAGAAAAATGAGAGCTTTACCAACCTTCTGCCCCACTAATTCCCTATGTAAACCCTCCATTTTGATTACAGTGGTTCCTCCCTGGAGTCTGCTCACTCCATTTGTTTGCCAGCTTCCTACAGAGTAGAATTTCCCACCCTATTTCCATCATTACCTTCCCAATGGCCACCATCTCATACCATTGTCATTATTTCTTAGTATTTTTATTTATCTTAGTGAATTTTAGTTTCCTACACACATTATCTTAAAAGTAAATTATAAAAACCTTAAATACAACAACAACCCACATATGATTCGCTATGATTAGAGCGTAGCTGTCAAATAAATTTAATTTTTCAAATGCTCCTAATTTCAAACTAGATACTATTAGCTAATGAAAGCTCTGAGTATGAGTCGCCATCTTTTTCCTAGAATAGGGAAATTAGCAAATGTAAGAGAGTGGTTAAGGCCAGAGTAGACATAAACTGAGATGCTCTCCTTGAAGTAATGGATATGTCAGATAAAGTTGACATGGGAGTAACTTCTCAGTTTTGTTTCACTAGTTATTGAAACGTCCTCCTGTACCACTGGTGATACTCATTTTTGTTCTTGGCGGGGGGGGGGGGTTGGTAACAAAGCTACAATAATAACATAAATAATGATGACACTGTTGCTGCTGTTAATAATAATCATCTAAAAAGTAGTCATCAAGTACTTACTGTATGCCTGGCCCTGTTTTAAGCACTTTTACACATAACAAGTAATTGAATCTTCCCAAGAGCCCATGAAGAAAGCACTTTTGCACATGGGATCCCGTAGCCCTAAAAAGTTTAGTAACATGCTCAAGCTCATAGAGCATGTTTAAGAGCCGTCACTGATCAAACCTCAGCTCTAAGCACCACCATTTACTTTGCAACCCTGGGAAAGCCACTTTAACACCATTTTTTTGCAGAAGAAACCAACACTTTGAGAGGTGACCATGGAATAACATTCTATGCCTGTCACAAGGACTCAATGAGGAGAAGGAAGAGAAGGGAGGGTAGAGGGAGGAGGGGCAGGAAGAGAATGGTAATTGAATCCTTCCGCCATCATTCTTTAGCTATTTAACCTTAGAAAGGTTGTTTAGTATCTCTGAGTCTTACTTTCCTTCATCTGTAAAATGAGATGATATCAGCTCCTGGATAACACTGTGGTAAATGTTTTGAAGTGGCTACAGTGAAAGTCTAGCTTAGTAGTTGGTATGTAATAGGCACTCAATAAGTAGTCTGTGTTATTATTCTGCAGTGAGCTTATCAAATCCCTAGCCATTATTCATGGCTCATTCTATGCCGTCCATTCTCTGATGCTTTCCCTTATGCGCTCTGCCCACAATGATAACTACAATGATAAGTCTTTCCTCTGAATTTCATATCGCTTCACTTTTTTTTTTTTAAAGCCAGCTTGTTCTTCCAAAGTAATTGAGGCTTTTATAAAACAAGACTTACAAACTTCTTTTAACACATACTATTTAATACATCATACTCCCCTAAAATGTCGACCAAAAAGATTTAGTAATTTTTAAAATTAATTATATGAAATGAGAAATGTTTCATCAACAGAATCTGAAAAGATAATCTAAATAGTAGTGGAAAAAATAGTGTTTTTTGTTTCTCACGGTAGTTTTCCTCTTCATGTTGACTGTCCATAATTGATGTGAATAGCACCATCTTCCTCTGGAGGATATTAAATCCTCATAAACAATAAGATACTCACATTTTGGGGGGTGCCTGGGTGGCTCAGTTGGTTAAGCCTCTGACTCTTGATTTCAGCTCACGTTATGATCTCATAGTTCATGAGTTCGACTCCCAAGTCAGGCTCTGTGCTGACAGCTCAGAGCCTGAAGCCTGCTTCGGATTCTGTGTCTCCCTCTCTCTCTGCCCCTCCCCCACTCATGCTCTGTCTCTCTGTCTCAAAAATAAATAAATGTTAAAAAAATTTTTAAGTAATATAAAATTATAGTAGAAAGTTAGAAAACTATGGAAAAAAATAAGAAAATACAAATGTTTTGTTATCCGTTTCCCCAGAACTAGTCACTATTAACATATCCTTGTATGTCGCTCTCACCTTTTTCTTAATGTTCTGTGGTACATTAAAAAAAAAAAAAAAATCGGAGCACCTGGGTGGCTCACTTGGTTAGGTATCAGACCCTTGGTCTTGGCTCAGGTCATCATATCCTTGTTCATGAGTTTGAGCCCTACACTGGGCTCTGCACTGACAGCATGGAGCCTGCCTGAGATTCAGTCTCCTCCCCTCTCTGTCTCTCCCCCTGACTTGCTATCTGTATTTTTGTCAAAATAAAATAAATAAATGAGGCTATATGTACTTTTGAAAAATATTTCCATATTCTTATATGTTCTTTAAAAAGATACATTTTTTAGGGCTATATAATACTCCCAACATTTTGATGTTATTAAACTCTTAAAGGTAAATGACTATTTTAAAATTGCCCTTATTTTAAACGATTCCTTAGATAATATCCTTCGAAATATATCTGGCTGTCCAATGATAACTCTTAGCATAAAATGTTAAATGGGTAAGAAGAGGTTTCAAAGTTTTAAGTCTCTTCAGTTCCTCAGCACTATGCATTCCCATAAGTCAGTGATTGGTGACCCCCTCCCCCACACCACACACTTACCAATACCAAGGAAATGAATTTTTTAAAACCTTTCATAATTTTCCTAGAAGACAAATGCTGGTATAATACACTTTATGGACTTTTAAAAATATCCTGCTTAATTCTGAACAGACAATACCAGTGCTCTAGACATTCTAGTTTCTGCTCAGCTTACAAAAATGACTTCCAAATCAAAAACACTGCACTTGTGGAATAAGGAGGTGCTAAATTCATTACATTAATTAAATAAGTGCTAAATTAATTAAGGAAGACATTTGACTGACATGGCTCTAATGCTATGGTGACTGGCATAAGCAAACCAAAGTCAGCCTGTAAATAACTCAACACTACGAAATCAAAATGCTAAGGACAACCAATCACCAACAGCTGATTAGGCTTTCAGCTGTAGCCAATCAATCATTTCCTGACCTTGCTTTAGGCTTTTGACTGTGAAATTCTCTCCCTGAACTCCAGCCTATAAAGTTCTCCTAACCACTTCCGCTTTGGCACTGCCGATTTAAGTTGATTTTTACTCAAACTCTTACGCCTCAGTTTATTTTTTTAAAGTTCTGATGTCAAAGACAGAATCGAAGGAGACCCCCAACAATCCCCAGGAGCAACAAGAAATGAGAGGTAAGCTACCTGTTCAGCCTCTTGAGTTTGCTGATTTCTCGCTGCTTCGGGCACCTATAAAGGTGATAAGAACATCCCTCTTAGATCCTCCATCTGCAGCTTCTACACTCGGAGCCTCAGGACTTCATTTGGGCATTTCTTCCCCTACGGTGACCCATTGCACTACTTCTGGAAATCAGACCTAATAGACCAGCCCCAACTTAGAAACGCTCAGCAATCCCAGATCTGACTGGGTCTGACTTAAAAACCGGATTGGATCCGGGGTTGGGCTGGGGGCGGAGCCAGTGGGAGGGCTCAGGTGAATAAAATTTTGTTTTAAACCTGGACAAGTAGGTAATCTTACCAAAGATAATCTTCAATTACGGTGGCTTCAGTGGAGAATTTTTAACCACCTTAGATAGGATTATCCATTTACGAACTGCCCTAGAGAAAAGGTGGTCTCAGCCAAGCACTCAGTATAAAGAAGAGACAGAAAAAATTGTTTTTTCCTCCTCTGTACTTTCTGGGGACCAGGATGAGAACTCACTGGGGCACCCCACCTGGAACCTGCAGATGACGTTCTGGGAAAACCGGTAGTCTGCAAAGGATAAGAATAAATAACAAACTCAGCTCTCCCAGATTTCTACTTGTGGTACCCAGTAGAGAGAAGGTAAAATTTCATGTCTCTTCCTTTCCAAATTCAGATTGGCAGGAAAATATTGATTATTGATCATTTCTTGCCCAGGAATAGCTACTGCCTCATTTGTCTAATTTTGTGTCCCAGGAGCTTGGCTTAACAACCAACCATGACGTTGGGGTGGGGGTCCCAAAAATACAGCTAGATGGAGATGTGGGTTGCACTACATTTGTAGCTGGGGTCCTAACAAGTGTTGCCAGCTCTCAGGGGAATTGTCTAAGTATTTCTTTTGGTTATCTTTGGAAGTGGCTCTGCATCTTGGGAAGGTAGTACCTTCTGCACCTTCTCTGGGTCACCGTAGGGGTGACCTTTCTTAGGTCTTCATGGGGTTGTTCAATACAACTACGAATATTTACTGTTGCTCCTGGCTGGCACCTAACAAGATATTTGAAAGGATTTTTTTTTCTTTTTTCTTTTTTTTTTTTTTAAGTAGCTCTACAATCAGAAGTGGGCCAAATTGGAAGCTGATATTAAGATCCTGATAGGAACTATTTTTTAGGACTTTTCCTCAAAGCTAAAATGAAAGAAAGTATGTACCCAGAGGAAAAGAAAAACATTCTGAGTTCATTGTAGAAGGATTTACCAGACCATTATGAAGAAACACAGCTCTAAATGTAGAATATAGGGATCTTTTGATTTCAATCTTAGTTGAAGATCTTCTTCTTGATATAAAGAAGCAAATTGAGGATAATGTAGTTTGATAGCTGGGCCAGCTTCTGGATATCATTCCGGTTGCAACCCAGTTCTTTGAGGACTTAAAAAATGTACTTGTCTTACAAATTGAGTCTTTTTAAGAACAGAAATGTGGCTCTAGAAACAATTCAAACACCACCTATCCCTTTTGCCAATCCCCAAACCTCCCCTATTCATCTCAAAAGGTTTGCACATATTGTGAAAGATCTGGATTTAAGAAACAAAAGCCTTTCTTGGAGAAATTTGCATACTTTCCCTGTGCCTTTGAGATAAAAGTATTCTACCTGGTCTTCTCTAGGAACCCAGAGCATTCTCTTGATATGAAACTTCAAGGAGACAATTTTTAGTGTGTGTGATGGGGGGGGGGGGGGCGGGGATGGGGAATAAAAAGAGAAAAAGAAAGGAAATAAAGCTATATGGAAATTAGGGGAATAAAAAAATTTAAAAGCCTTTCCACAAACATTAGTAAAAGCTTAAGCCATCTGAGCAGGTAACTTTAACTCATTCTATTCGCCAGACACACAATTTGGATTCAACTCTCCTTTTATAAACTAGTGAGTTTTCCATTATCATACTTTTCTCATTGCTAGTACTTTATTTTTTTTAATGTTTGTTTATTTTTGAGAGAGACATAGAGGCAGAGCACGAGCAGGGGGAGGGGCAGAGAGAGAGGGAGAGACAGAATCCGAAGCAGGCTCCAGGCTCTGAGCTGTCCACACAGAGCTGGACGTGGGGCTCAAACTCACGAACCCAAACCATGAGACCGTGACCTGAGCTGAAGTCAGATGCTTAACCTACTGAGCCATCCAGGTACCTCTCTCATTGCTAGAATTTTAAAATGAAAGCTTTAAGATCTCTGCATGTGTCTATGTTACATGCATCTATGTATGTGTGTTATAGATTTGTGATATTTTTCTACCTCCAGATGGCATTGCCAAAATTGATTTGTAAAGACAAACAAGCATTTATATAAATCAAGTATACTCTCATAAATATAGAAACTAACCCAAATGATTTTCAAGTTCGTGTGATCTAGGATAACGTTTGGTAAATAAACGCTGATTTAAGTTTGTTGGCTTAAGTAAAACAGGCATGTCTTTAGAGTTATCAGCATTGGATATAATAATACTCTTATTCTACCTAGATTTACTGAAAGTCAGTCTTATGCTGTCTCAGTTACAGAATTTGTCAACAAGAAAAATAACAGATAACAAGATGAAGGTTAGACATTCAATATCATAAAATTTTCATAAATAATCTAAACATAATTGTTAACAAGTAAGGTATGTAAGTAATGAAAAAGTTTATAAACCTACTTTTCAATAATATTTATGCTTATGGTATGTCTACTTAAAAGTAGTTTCCAAAATCTTTTTCATAACTGAAAACTTTAAAAGTATACTGAGTTAGGTTAAATATTGGATATTCATTGAATATCTAGATTTCCAAATAAGTTAAAATACTGAAACATTAATTACTGAACATAGGTTTATCTACTTTTGGCTTCCTTTATTGGTGACTGCTGGTACTTTTACAGTCACACACAAAGCAGTGAAAATTTTGAGTTGCCCAGTACACATATTCCGGGCTGAGATGTAACAAGGCAATGCCGTGCCTTCTTTTTTCAGTGCTCATATTATAAACAAGTCCTTTTCATGGTCTATTTGGTGCCACACTATTTTACATTTTTGTGTTTTTTTCTTGCTGATTTTGCTGTTTTAAATGACCCCCCAAGCACATAGTTAAGTGCTACCTGGTAATCCCAAGTCTAAGAAGGCTGTTATGTGTCTTATGGAGAGAATACATGTGCTAGGTAAGCTTTGGTCAGGCAGGAGTTACAGTGCTGTCGGCCATGAGTTCAAAGTTAATGAATCAACAACATATATTAAATAAGATGTCCTTAAACAGAAACACACATAAAACAAGGTTACATATTGATCTGTTGATTGGCTGATGAAAATGTTGGGACTTGAGGCTTGCACTTATCTAATCCTGTATTTCCCCTAGAGGCAATGGTTCTGTACTTGCTAATTCAGTGTTCCCAGCAACTTCACAGAGCATGACTGCCACAAATAAGGAGAATCAACTGTTATATTTATTTATTTCCCCATGTTCTTGATATTTTATTCTTTGTATGATTATGGCCCTATATTCTTACATTCTTTATTAGGATGCCTACTTTTTTTTTTAAGTTTTTTAAATCTTTATGTTTGAGAGACAGAGAGACAGAGTGTGAGCAGGGGAAGAACAGGGAGAGAGAGAGAGACACAGAATCCGAAGCAGGATCCAGGCTCTGAGCTGTCAGCACAGAGCCCAAAGCGGGGCTTGATACCACAAACCATGAGATCATGACCTGAACCAGTCAGACACTTAACTGACTGAGCCATCCAGGTGCCCCTAGGATGCCTACATTTATAACCCATTTTCTATGGAGTTGAATATGGTATGTAGGTACACAACATACACACAAACACACACACACACACACACACACACACACACACACAAGCAAATATCCATTAAAATACCTCACCTATAATATTTTGACTTATTTATAATTTATATTATGTATGATGATATTTTATTTATATTAAATTGACCTTTTCACAATGTATTTTTAATCTGTTGGTTTTTCAGTCAAATGGGACTCATCATATTATTACTTCCCTTATACAGGGATACCTCATTTTATTGTGCTTCATTTTACTGCACTTCACAGACAATGCATTTTTACAAATTCAAGGTTCATGGCAACCCTGCATTTAGCAAGTCTACTGATGCCATTTTTTCCAATAGCATTTGTTCATTTCATGTCTCTGTCAAATTGTGGTAATTCTTGCAATATTTCAAACTTTTTCATTATTATTATATTTGAACTGTTTCAGTCTCACGATAAAACTTTAATGGATGACAAGTTGCTTCTTGTGGAGGAGCAAAGAGGCTGGTTTCTTGAGATGGAGTCTACTCCTTGTGAAAATGCTGTAAAGATTGTTGACATGACAAAAAAAGCATTGAGATTATTGTATCATTAACTTAGTTGATAAAGTAGTGGTAGTGGTAAGGTTTGAGAGAATTGACTCCAAGTTTGAAAAAAGTTCTAGTGGGGTAAAATGCTGTCAGAGTCACAAGCCACAGAGAAATGGCTCAGGAAAGAAAGAGAGCAGCAAACGGCATTGTCTTATTTTAAGAAATTGCCACAGCTACCCAACCTTCAGCAACCACCACCTTGATCAGTCAGCAGATATTAACATAGAGGCAAGACCTTCCACCAGCAAAAAGATTATGACCCACTGAAAGCTCAGATGATGGTTAGCATATTTTTTTAGCAATAAAGTATTTTTAAATTAAGATACGTCCTTTTTTTTAGACATAAGGCTATTGTACCTTTAATAGACTACTGTATAGTGTAAACATAACATTTATATGTACTGGGAGCCCAGTAAATTCATTTGACTTGCTTTATTGTCGTATTTACTTTATTGAGGTGGTCTGTAACTAACCCTACAATACCTCCATATTTTCTTAACACCTCAGTAAAGTGCTTGTTCTATTTGTTCATCCTGGCTTACATAGTTCTAATGATACAAAAAACCTCTGCAGACCACTTTTATTATTTTTTTGTAACTGTTTTGTAATAGTAAACTAAGCTATTCAAAGATATTCCCACTCAATTTTCCAAATGAGATACTCAAAAATTTAAATAGCATTTTATAATTACTTTTCTTATTCTACGTTACAAATATCTCATTGATTTATGTACTCCAGGACTCGAAAACCAAAATCGACATCCAATGATAGTTGGCAAACATTGGTAAGCATGCTATTCACACTTCAGTGTAAGTGACAACAGGATTTAACAAAAGTTTCATAATTTAAAATTGATGTAATTAATTTACTAGATCATAGCTTATCATATCATATTCTTCATAATAAAACTTAGACTTTCTCTAGAATAATCCCATACTTTTACTTGTTCAAAATATTTCAATTAGTGGATCAGTATCTGGAATAACAGACTGGACTAAAAATTAAGGCTTTTCTCCTTTTTAGCTATGCAAAGATGAGCAACCTCTTGGGACCTCAGATTTCAGGATTAAGAGGACTTTAGTTTTATGTTAAATAAAATAATTTACATTGAGAAAAAATTTTAAATGTAGTACATGACATGTATTTAATAACTGTTCCTATCTACATTTTTAACCCTTCATAACTTTTATTAAAACACCACACACACATTATATATTTGTTCTGGTTACATAAGCTCTATTTTAGTCTTTAAA